TCAGCAATACCTTGCAATAATTTATTGAATTATAACATGCCAGCAGATAATCATCATAAACACTTCTCCACTGATAGCGATGAGATAGATTAATGATATCTCTAATTCTGTTCAAACAATCCTTTTTAAATAATAACAAAATTTCAACTATTTAACGACAAAAAAAAAACAATACATGCTGAATACTGAGAGAGATAAATTTTTCAGTGGTAATTACTGAGTTTCATTTACAACATTATAATATATCAAATGTGGATAGCATTCTTCATCTCAACATCAATACTTGCAATGAATTGGTATATTGTTCATAAAAGTAAACTCGTAGAAAAAGGAGTGACTAAAATTTTCAACCGACTCCGTATTCATTTCGCTAATTCATAAATGACATTAAAAATAAGGGGTGTGATTATTATTCGTTCACAGTTGTCCTTTGTGGTATCATCCAAAAATTAGGAAATTTCATCCATGTCTCTTTATATTTGTTCCAACAAATCTACAAATATTTCTATTATCTAATTAAAATTAAATAAGAAATCAATTTTCCGGAATAGTCTCGACGATCTCGATTCAGCGCTATTTATTGACTGCTGTTGAAGTCTGGTGGTTCATTTAACATTTTAAAAAACAACTCTCTAATTTGCAATATTAATTACGAGAGTGGCATCAGCCAATTGATTTATACCGGGGCAAATGATAAGAGAGAGTTATGATATTGCCACACATTAGCTTTCCGGTATTTCACCGTTTATGCAATTTTCGATGGAGGAGAAGAATTGATTTAGGATTTGTGATGAATTATATCGTGGCCAAATGTAGCCATTAATGAATGACGACGACTGTGAACTGTTTATCTCAATCTGGTAGTCTTTGAGTAGGGGAAACTTTACTGTTATGTTATTTTTCAACCAATCGATCACAATTCACTTCCACCTTTTTACATTTCATTTTTACGTTCATTTAATCATTTATTCATTAGCTAAAGCTTATTAGTTGATCGATAATTAGTTTGAAAGATTATTGCATCTCACCGCTTCCTTCTTCTTATACATCTATTCAATCCAATTATTCGTACCCCTTTCTTCCTCAGCGGTTCTGTCTTCTTCATCAATTGTTATACTTGAACCAATGTATTTAGATTTGCATAATTTCAGAGCAAAATTTCAAATGTAGCATTTCAAAGTTTGTTTTCTCATCTAATTCCTTACTGAAATTGAATTGAATGAACATTGCATTTCATCTCCAAAAAATGACCCGATTGAATGGATGATAATGTATTATTGAGGTGGCAACGGCTGAGGGAAAATATCAACGATGAGTAGAAGCTGAAATCAAATTGAGAAAAGTTGGCCACTTATTGGCAGATAAAAAGTCAGCCAATTTGGGTCATATATTCTAAAATTGCATCATCACAACAGCGCAAAGAATCATATCGTAATTACATCTTTTTGCTAACTTCGTCTTTTCATCCAAGACTGTAATAAACGGATAGATCAGTTGCAGTTAATAGTTAACACTATCGGCTAGAATTTTGATTTTAAAACTGCGAATATTTTAGTCGTCGATATTTTTAAAATTAATAAATCTTCCCAATAAATAATAGCTTATGCAAATGACTGGACGGTAATTAATTACTGTGGTTTAGAGAGCGCATCAGGTTCCTTGATTCGTTGATTTGAGAAATAGCCTATTCGGTGGTAGTTTGCTTTACGACAGTTTACCACTTTGGTTGAAAATGAGCATTTGTGATGTGTGCACGAAATGACAATAAATATTGGCAGGAAATTGGTTCATTTTGCTCTGCTTTCCTTATGTTTCCGCGGAAGTGGTATGAAATGCAATCTTAGCGGCTTACATGCTTACACCAATCCTTCCAACTTTACTACTCTTCTCGTTTTGCATAACATCAGTTACATGTTATAACATTTCCTTTATAAGCAAGTATGCCCGGTTTCGATGGTATAGACCTTTTTAAAGTCAGAATGAATGCCTCAAAAGATATGTCTTATTTTTAGATTCAGTAATGATTGAAATGGATTTTATAAGCCAGCAAAAGATCTCAGAATTCCTATTAGCCGAAAAGGCTAAAATCTTGATGAATTTTTCTATTCTTATCTTATTTTCCGCAATTCATCTAAAAATGATTCATTCAAAAGAAATTATTCCTCTTCATCTTTGTTTATCATACATGCTGAAAATTGTTTTGCGTTGCCGTTTTACTTCTTTTTGATAATGAAAAGCATTTGAGTTAATTTGTACTAATTCAATTCCTAAAAGAATTAATGGAACCATTGAAGGAGCTAAAAGTGGAAAGGGACGAACCTACTCGGTTAATCAGTTCAGTTCAATTCAATTATCTTCACTTCCTTCTTTCAGAGCCTTTTTCTCTTCTAATCTCACTTTCACATCTTCTTCTTACCCTCTTTCAGGGGAAGGGGAAAAGTGCTGAAATGGTTCGCTTCTATGCAATGCAAGAAGTCGAAATTACTATTCCTCTTATTAGTTTCGTATCAGAAAATAGCACGAAGTAAATTAGCTGGCAATTGTGCCGCTTCTTCCTTTCTCTCATTTCACATCATTGCAATCACCGCCACCCCGCCATTCTTCCTCAGTGTCATCATTGCAGTCCGGCTATCCTCTTTTGATGATGCTACAACATACTGTAATCATAGCACTGCCTGAGTAATCGATGTCACCTTCCAGCATTATCCCTTTAGCGCTATTCCTATTCATTTCTTTCGGGAATGTGAAGGTTTCAGGAAATTTCTTTTCTTCAAGCCTTCTTCCAGGAAGAAAAGGTGCAGTAGCGGGAAGAGCAATGAAATCTCCTGAACAGGAATAATGGTAGGTAGTATTTGGCTTTTTCTCCTTTCATCATCATCTTCTTTAATTCCGTATGCTTAAATTCTTTTCCCAATTAACACTTTCACTCCTCCTTCAATTTCAGAATCGTATCATATTTCTCCTCTAATCTTTTTCCTTCATTATTTCTTTGTTTGAATACCGAAAAGGAACAAAATTCAGTTACGTTAAAGTCATTAAAATTATTCATTTCTTCGCCTATTACAAACGTGATTTTCATTTCATTTTGAAATGATGCTTTCATATTAAAGCGATTTTCGATTAGCACTCGCTGATAGATGTCTTTTATGTTTGATAAGGAGAGTGATTACTGCCTTTGTTTCTAAAATCATAGGTATTATACCTGATCTGATCTTTTTCATATTTGCTCGTCGGGAAATTTTTCAATCATTAAGGCTATTCGAGAGTTTGGTAAAGTTAGCAGTAAGATAGTGTAACCGATAGCCAAATCTTACATTTATTTGGGCATCAATTTACTAGGCTAATGCTGCCTGGTGACACCTTCCCTTGGAAGCTCACATTGCTTCCCTTAGTCATCTTACTTCTCCACTTGTTACACATCCAATCCATCGATCGGCTGATGTCTACTTGCTTGCTTGCTTGTTTGCTTGCTTATCACTTTCAGCCTTTAGGCACAGAGCGAAGTTTTCTTGAATATTGCTGTGAATCGATCGTCCGCCCCATCCTCTTCTGGCCATAATATTGGGCAAGCAAGACAAGAGGAGCTCTGCTCCACTATCTCTTCCCTTATTACTATTATTGCTGTCGTATTATATCATACGTGCTGGAAATTGTCATCGGAAGTGAAGAAGGATGACGGTAGTCTCGGTGGTACCGAGTATCACTTTCTAAGACATCCTTACTTCTTTAGACTCTTAAAATTCTCCACTCCTAAACTTCTGGAAGAGAATTCCAAACAGTACTGCTGCCTCGGGCCATTATTTGGTAGACTTTGCTGCAGGTCGAATCTTTGTCACAGCGAAGAAGTGCAGCAATGAATTCTCTCTCTCTTTCTCTCTCTCTTTACTACGTAATGGGGATTAATGGAATGAATGATTAACATCTACAAATTTCATTGGATAGATCCCTCACTTTATTAGATGAAGATTATGACCAGAAGATATCTTGTCAAGTTTATGTCTCTTCAGGAGAGAAAATATGTAGTCATTTTTCTCTGTCTCTTCGTCATTTTTCTGTTGGTAGCATTTTTCCAGTCAACATTTCAAGTTTAAAGCTAGTAGAAGATCAAAAGGAATTTTGCTTTAGGAAATGTTGTAGAGGTAGATTTGATGAAGGGAAATGATATTATAGTTAAAAGTTATGCAATAAACTATATAATTGGTAGTTTTGATTGACCTAAACCAAAACTTATTATTCACCAGTCATTTACTTCCTCTGCAATTTCTTAATGTCAACCAAATCATTTATTTCAGTTCACTGTCGCATTGTTGCATGTAATCCGGTTTTTTTTGACTTTCTGCGTCATAGGTGCAGTGAAAGCCAAGCGACAGGCTATTTCGGAGGAGGTTATGTCTTTTTTTTCTTTCTTCAGTTCTGTGAAAGCTATGAAAGAGCCAGCCTGATCTGTATTCATTTATTGCATCCTATCGCTGATCACACATTTCTTTAAGCTGCTTCTGCTAAATTTTTCATGGAATGGAGATAGGAGAGATACAGAGAATGTAACGATAATCAATTTTTCTTTCATGTGTTCTTTTAGGATCCAAATTCCCGCTTCCAATGTCAGGGGTCATTGAGTGATTACGCAGCTTGTCAATGTCGCGAGCAGGAGAGCGAATTATCTTGCATAAATGCTCAATTTGTTGATGCCGATATTTTTCTCCATGTAAATAATCTTTACAGGTAGAAATTGATCAATTAAATGGTAATTAAATTTCATGTGTAATTTGTTCAGTAAAGACAAAACCGTTTTTTTCGCTTTTAGGCATCTTCGGAAAGTGACATTTCATGGTAATAACTTTCAAGATCTACCCGACAGTCCACTATTTGGACAAAATGAACATGAAAATCTCGAGGTGATTCAAAATATTGTGTCGCAAAAATATACTGTCAAAATTTTTTCTCATCACATGATGGAATTTTTATTAAATTTTGAAATAAACAAATTAACGATTAAGCTGACAGAAGATTTCTTTCCTTCAGTTCTCACTTAAATTTACAAAGTTTCCAAAATCAAAGTTTGATATGTTAATGTTTAATCTGGCCAAGAAAATAACTTTCTATTGCAGGTGCTCAACATCTCAGCAAATTACATTGTGAATTTGCATTCGAATGCACTGAGAGGGATGCCCAATTTATTGGTGCTCGATTTGAGTAATAATGAAATAGTATTGAAAGAAGAAGATATCACTTTTCTCTCACATACTCCCAAATTGAAGCAAGTAAGCCGAAATTTGAAAATGAATTGAAAAGACATAAGAAAGGAAATTTTGTTTTTTGAGAATTAAAAACTGTGCGCTGCGCTGTTGGAGTTTAATGGTGATGAAATGTTTGACTGTTTGATGTCCTAAATTAGACGTGATTTCCGGTCGTATTTTGGATTCGTAACTGTGCTTATCGGCATTAGCATTATTTTCGGTAGCGTTTACTGCTGCTAATAGTAAGGACTTTAAAACGAAGTTCAGAACGCGGGAAATAGGATGAATTTTAATTTCAATTTTAGTTTGAGTTTAATCAACTTTCAATATACTAAATATTAGTATGACCTGAATTTATGGATTTATATAATCGGAAAGAATAATGAAGAGTTCCATCCTGTCATATATATATATATATACTTTTTTCCAGTTGTATTTGAGGCGAGCATTCACACTGCTTGTCAACCGTACCGTGCAATTTTCGCTAATGATGCGAATGTTCAGGACAGTGAATTTACAGCAGCTAAATGTAATCTTTTTTTTTAATTTTAAATTAAAAATATTTTATCGATGCTTGAAGAATGAGTATATTATGTGGTCATTCGGGAAATAAAAATCCCGACGTCCAGTTATGTCAATTCTGGGAGATTGAAAGCCGAGATGATTTCTTAGAGAATTAGATTTTCAAGAAGTAGGTTTTTGAGGGATGCTTATTATACTTAATAATTTTAGTTTATATGTATCATATGCTGAGCTGATTTTTCGCTATCATATAAAGAGTAGTGATAATGATAATGAACTGGGAATGTGAAGACTTCAATACTGGTTAACCAAAAAATCGTTAGTATTGATAGATATATTATTGCAGTATATTGATCTGAGCTACAACTATTTCACCAAACTACCCTATGATTTACCCTGTCCATTTCCTTCCTTGAGGTATCTTGATTTGCGCCAGAATTTTCTTCAAACGATCAATCTTAATACAACATGCTTATCCAAAATTGAGACTATTGATCTGAGCAGGTAGCAATTTCCTCTTCTTCATTCACTTTATAGTTCAAAAAAAAGTTTTTCTTTTTTTCAAATGAAATAAAAAATGAAATTTTCCTGAAGCATTTTTAATATCTGAAATTCATCGTTACTTTAGAATATATAATCTAGTATGTAAGAATTGATTGTGCTATTCTTGTATTGAATTTTTTTCATAGGCTCAATTGTTGATGTTTGTTTAAATATCGTTTAGTATTATGTTGCAGGAATCATATCCGTCAACTGGATGAAACATTCCGACAAGGAATCGGCAAGCATGTACAGCCAAATTCATTGTTATTAAGAAATTCATTTCATTGTAACTGTGAAAGTATTGCTTACATCAAATGGATCCGAAGCACGGATAAAGTACGTGTTCCATAATTTTTGCCAATTCAGATAAAATTTAAAAATATCAGGAAAAGGGGAGCAATATGGATGTTAAGTATGTAGAGATTATCTTAAAATTAAAAAAAAAATTCCTTTCTACCTGATATTTTTTAATTTATCTTAGAGAACTTATCGATACGAACAATTCATCCTTCTTCTTTTGAGATTCGTGACAAGCAGCAACTTTCATGTCATCGAGCCAGTCCATCCGACTATGCTGGAGTTGAGTTAGTCAATGTACCGTTGGAAAAGCTAGATTGTACCGTATCTCTTGTCCTTACACCAAATACTGGTAACACACACTTTTCGGTAACATTTCCTTTTTACAGTGTTCTTCTGGTGATTGTGATATATCTTATAAGCAGCTATAATATTTCCTTCTCTATAATGGTATTGCGTTGCAGAAGATTACATCATTTGAAAGAAATGTTTTGTAAAATATGAATTTAAAGTTAGAAAAGATATTGCAAATTCCTTGTAGATTTTTTTGATTTACATATTTTATTTCTTAGTAATGGCCTGCAATCGTAGAATTTATTTCATTTTTATCGAGCTTTAAAGATGATCATTAATTAAGACAGGTTATATCTTTCAGTGGGGGCTTCATCATTTGTGACAATAAACAGACCCGAATTCCTTCTTTATATTGTTGTATAACTTGCATTATAACTGCAGTATTATTGTTTTTGATTCCTCTAATCATAACATATTCTTCTTTAATAAGATTAATAAATTTTCATTTATCTGGTTTTGAAACAATAATAATTTACGCTAATATCGGTTTTAAGAAATTTGTTAAAAAATTAAGGTAATTGCAAAGGCACTTTATAGTAAATTGTTTTCAATGAAAAGCAGATACTAGATTATAAAATTTTCTGATGACTTACCAATGTCACTACTTATCGCTGTGTTAGTGAATATCGAAAGAAGGCAGTAGCAGCTTGCAAAATTTGAATGATGACAGATAGCGATTTAACAACAGTGGCATGGTACATACACATACATGTTTATATATTTGTGGAATTCTGCTGAATAATATGAGGTCTGTTTAGGTGGAAAGTTTGGACTACGAAGAATGTGTTATGATGTCTTCAAGTGAGCAATGACAAAGGAAGTGAGGTCATACCGCTTAAAAAAACTTTGATATTTGCAGAGAGGGAATTTAGCTGAAATATAGCAGTGACATCCGTCGGCTATATGGGCTTTGAGAAAATTTATTGCAAGCGAAGTTATCCGCTAAAGGAGAATCGACCACTGCATAACTACATAAGTATAGGAACAATACTGATTACGAAAAAAGGATGAATAAAGAAATATGATTTGGGCTGGTCGATTGGAATTATTTGTGAATCATCTCTGGTAAAAGAGACTATATTTAAGGCTAGGGGAGAAAACCTATTTTAAGGCTAGGGGTAAACTATTTAATGCTAGGGGAGAAAACCAAAGAATTTACATAACGGTAGCAGGATTAGGTATTATGTGCAGATTCGGTTATGTTACGAATTGTCTTACGAAGTTGCATAAACCGACTATCAATATCCATATAATCGGAATTGCATAGGTGAAGTTCTACTTCGGCAATAATACTAAGAAAATAGCTAATGCTTGAAATGACTGAAATATTATCCATTTAGGTTGTATTCGTTTATATGAGAAATTATTGGCAAATAAATAACTATTATTAAGATGAATATGAATCAATCTATGTTTGAAAAATTCCTTCTGTTAGTTTAATGACTCCAAGAAGTTGATCGTTGTTTCCGTTAGATTAATAGTTCAACAAATAACGTTAAATGTCAGATATTTGGATTACAGAATGTGTCAGAACTTTTGCTGAATAATGAGTAAAATGTACAGTTATAATCGAACAGTATATGACAAAAGTTTGTTATGTTAAAATACGAAAGAAACAAGGAGTATCAGAAAGTTTAAAAGAAAGGATTAGAGTTCAGAATGTTATAAATTAAGCTGCTATGAGAAAAAGGATGGATGGTTCACCGACATGAAATGAACAGTAAGTTTTAAATAGTATCGAATTTGAATGAGAACAGATGTGGTGAATGTTATTATAATGCATCAAGATAAGCAACAGGATAATAACAAGAAAATACAGGTAAATGGAAGAAGAAGTTAGATGAAACTAGATGTGCCAGAAAGGAACGAAATACTTTCGAAGGCTTCGAAGGAGAATGGAATACTAAAAAATGGAAATTAAAAAAAATAGAAAACAAATTTAGACAGCAAAATATCAAGCAGGTAAAAGCCAAAAATTATGGCTCATAAAACATGAAACAACTGATAAATAATATGAATTATTCATTCAATATAGACAAAGCAAAAAGCGTTTCAGAATATCCAACAAAAAGTTGAGCTTAAAAATGAAAAAATTTCATCAGAATTTTTGATGTAGCAATCAAACCGGATCATATAGTGAAATAGGTTGAATAATCCATGAAGTAGTCTGGTTTTAGAACAAGTAAAATACATAAAATTTTATTAACATTTTCAAGCTTTAAAAGTTGCACTAACAAAGCTATCTAATACGAACAGTCTTTATCTTATCTATACTCATAATATATAAGTATTATATATTATGTATTAAATATTAGTATTATATATATATATATATAGCATAATATATAAGTATTTTAGAGAAGAAAATCTGTTAGGAAGGAGCAGAAGAGAAACCGTCCCTTATCCAAAAAATCAACGGTTAATTCATTAACAAAATGATAACGAAAAACTTATTGTTTGATTGTGAAATTACAAAACAAATTGTTAAAAAATTAGAACTTATCGGTCTCAAATTCAAATGCAAGTTGTCTTGGCTGATGTGAGCAAAATTCAATATTGTTCCTCTTTGCTGATTTCTTTTCATATCGCTTCAGTGGAAGTCTCATGAATCTCAACATAGAAGTTGTTCCTAATGCAACTGCCGTTTACCAATTCAGATAGAAAGTCTTGCCCTTAGTCATGCCTTGAATCAATATCGATATCATAAACGTTGTTTGGAATATCCATTATTGCCAATTAGCAGAATCTCCCCGCTAACTTGATGATTTTGAGATAAAAGTAAAATTATAACTTCTTAGTTTTTGCTGTTCTGAAACGCTTATCTCGGACATAATCACCACATCAGAATTGTTCGTCCCCTCATATGAAGGTATCAATTGGAAATATGAAAGAAAGCTGCGCAGTATTTTGCTTCTGAATTAAGGATTCAGCGATCGAAGTACTCTGTTGAAATATTGCTGCTTAATTTGAAATAATTCGTATATAATTTGAAATTGAATATGTAAAAATTGTAATTGATCAATGCAAAATCCTTTATTAAAAAAATATGAAGAAATTTTTTCACGAAAGCTTTCAAACAAATTTCTTTATAAGTGACAAGGGTAAGTATATTAGCTAATAGGCATTTTAAACACATGCTGAGAGCACAGATAAGCCAAAAACTCAATTTCAAGGTTGGAATTTCTTCAAAGACTATGACTTTCATTTCTCTTGAAAATATTAAATTTATTATCTTAGAATCGTTTTCGATTATGTGCGAATTTTCCAAGATGAATTCAAGCAGGATTCATCATCAGTAAGTGCCGCATAACTGTTGTGACTTTACCGAAATAACGTTCCTAAGATAATAAGTTCAATACCATAGAGTGGAGGCAGGAACTTTCAGATCCCTCATTGTCGCAAATTTTAAACAGCATGTTTCCATTATTTTTTGAATCGTCGTCAACTTAAGCAAGTTTAATTAAACTTCATCATCACAACTTAAGCAAGTTTAATTAAACTTGCTTAAGTTGTGATGATGAAGATAAAATTGATGATGATGTTAATGTTGAAGAAACTTTTCAACAAATCAAAATAGCATGCTATACCAACCACATACATTTAGCTTGCAACATTTATTTGCAGAAGATTCTTCATCATCCATTCATTACCTGTTTGCAAATTGTCCAATCTCTTTAATTAACATTATTATCGTTTGATTGTGAATCCGAAAGACTGATTAATTATTATAATTAACAATCATTTTTTTGATGTTACGTGATATCCTTTTTCAGAAAAGACTTTATTAAATATTATTGTTATTGCTAAGATATGCTGAAAATGAAAAAGAAATTGTTTCTTTCTTTTTCTTCTTATCTAATTCTCAGCAAGCATCCTAATCACACATGAAGTGATACCTTATAAGATGAATCATTTATTGAGCTTTTTCACCGATGTTTTCTTTCCAAATCCGTTTTACTTATCCGATATGATTATTTTACCACTGCAAGCTTTTGCAATTTAGCATTTGCCATCTTTACTGAGGATTATGATTTGTTACATCGACTTTATACCTATTTTGATTCAAGTTGGACGTATTTATTCAAGTTGGACGTATTTAGCAAGTTGGACGTATTTATTAGATTCAAATTTTATGTGATAAATTAACGTTGATATTCCAATTAGCATATCCGAAGAATATGATCATAAACTTTGACAGATATTATTTGAAATATTTTGGCATTATCTTGCATTCGAGCATGAATTATAAGAGTGGAATTATGTTTTGCAATGAATTAGCAAATTTCAAGTTTTATGCTCCTGAAATGATTTCAAAAAAACTAATGATTTGTTGTCAAAGAGATATTTCTATATCTTAGCAAAATGTAAGTCTACTTGTAAACTGGGTAGGATTCAAAAATCGCCATGATAGTGAATTAATTGGTATCATTCAATCTTATCAATGATAAATTCTATTAGTTGTGATTTTCACAAGATATTCGTAAACTTGAATGTGAAATCCTGCAACAAGACACTAAGTTTATAAAATTGTTGTATATTAACTTCAATTTTACTGACAATTTTTTGGTTTTAATTTTAAACGTTTTCCGTTTAACACTGTTAGACGTACGCTTATCCATCCTCAATATTACAATAACTCTTTTCTCGATATTATCGATTATTGCAGAAAACATGCACTGCATAATAAATTTTTTCTGGACTCGGGAATTTCGGGCTGCAAGAAAACGGAATATTGTAAAGCAAAGCAACGATTCTCTTTTTATGCTTTCTTTATTACTTGACTGAAATTTTCAATAATTAAATTGTTCAGAATACTTTTTTAAAGTATGCTTAATTTGACAATGGACAGTACACACTTGGTTGCATGAATCATTTCAGGTGCAATAATGATGAATGTTTCACTGTCAAGCGCTTAAATGGTACTTCTTTTGTTTCAGTGGAAGCTCGTAGGCATGCAGTATGCAGTTTGGTTCGATTTTTGCTTATAACTCTTATTTTCACTTTTCTTTCCTATTTAAATCTTTTACAGTAATTGGCTACTAATTTTTGGTAAGCAAACTTTATTTGAATTTTAATTTGCAATAAGTATGAATAGACTGTTCGTAATATTCACCACAATGGAGTTTGTTCGTTGAATTTGATTTGAAATTAACCTAATCTGAGTGATCCCATTTATTAGAAAAAATGAAGCATAAACGATGCTGTCTGTGAATTTGCTTAACAGTGTATGGGAAAGACGAGAAGAGAAAACAACTTGAAATCAAAGAAATAATGAAATGAAGTGGAACGAGAAAGTTAGCATCTATTTCATTTCCGATCTCGTAATTTCAATATCATTGTTGCAAAATCAATTGCGCATTTTATGTTACCTTTAGTTGGATATCGATCATTGGCTGGATCTTATTTTCTTTATTTTGCTATATTAAAGAGTGAGTGCTTCGTGAGTGTGATATAACGAAAGCAAGGATGAAAAGAAGTAAAGTGTATCGAAAACTGCTTCCAAAGATCGAACATAACTTCTATTGTACCCTAGGAAGTAATCACTACAAGTTTATTTTCTACAAATTCAGCATATTTAATTGCGAACAGTTTGCATCTTCTTCCTAGTAAATGAGAGACGTCAAAACTATATTGCTGATGATTCTGAAGTATCTGGAACTTTGTGCTGCAGCGATCCTTTGATTAAGTTCTGAAATTCCAAATTCTGCATTTTCGGCAACTCTTTACACGAAGATGACACGGTATCGACTAGTGATCTTGTGTTCCAGTTAATATTTATACAGTTTTTTTATGTTTACACGTTTATTTGCTA